ATTAAAAAGAATAATTAAAATATTTTTTTTTGGAAGGCGTCCTGCCACTACACAATACCAGCAAACATGAGATTTTTGTGATTCTCCCACTCCATCTAAAAAGCACCACAAGTATAGTATGGTCGTTTAAACAATACAAGCGCACATTGGGCGCAGATATCTTACTATTTTTTTGCCAGTTTGAATGCGGAGTTTTATTTTTTCGTCCTCACTATACTCCCTAATGCCCTGTTTAGTTACGATTGATCTCAAAATATTTGAAGTTCTCGACATGTGCGATGTGAGTATATCAGCTTTATACCTTTATGTAAATCTTATGATCAATCTAAACTTTATCTTGGTTATAACTAATTTTATTATGCTATCATTAGCATGATAGATAAATAAAATTGGTGGGATTCATGGGAGATCGATATAGGATTTTTTTTTGAGAATTAGTAGACTACAAAATTTATTTTAGGGTGGTAATATCTTAATATGGAGGAAGACCGCCATTTTATACACGATAACCTACTTAAAATTAGTGATTTATACTCACCTCTAATTGATTTTAATGCTAATTTAAGACAGTCCTCACGCCAGGTCGCATATGCATAACGAGTTTTTTAAACTACACTCAGACAAGGACTATTCAAATGAGGAGATAAATGACTAATCCGATCCCATCGGTACCTAAATCAGAAAGCCGCTCATTAATAAATTGTTGTAACTCATAACATTACCATAATGGACCCATTTAAATACATCAGTGAGCAGGACCGGCTCTCGACAAATTTGCATTATCACTTTATAGGTCTATAAAAGTAATCATTTTTTTCTGTGTTACTTCGGTTTTATTATGAATATGTATTAGTGTTGTTTTCAACACTTGTGGTATGGTAATGGTCATTTGAAAGCGACAAAGTAATAACAAAGTATAAAGGTTTAATAGTGGGTGTTCCTTTATAGGTTTTAGTTAGTATATATGACTAGCTTTAGTACTTTATACTGTTTTTATGAAATTTTTAAATTATTTAATGGTATTACTTCGTTTGTGTCTAGGTCAGGTTAGATTGTATTGAATATTAAATAAAGTATTTAAATTTAGCGTTTCTTTTTTGCCACCAGGGTTAATTTGGACCTGCTTTACTTACAAGGATTTCGAACCGCTGTTCTCACCTATACAGGGTGGTCCGAACTGTATCCCGGAAACTTCGGCAGCATATTCTGCATATAAAAATAATTAAAAAAGTTCGTATAAATGTATGTCCTAAAATGCTTAATTTCCGAGATGCGGAATGTAGAAATTTCATTTTTATTTTGATTTTTTCCAAATAATTCCTGAAGTAGCGTTAATATTTGGATGAAAATTAGTGTCTGGGAGTTTTTTACCATGAGAAATTTTATTTTGATATCAATATGACTCCTATTTGCAGGGGGCGCCATCTCCATGTGTATTATCTGTCTTAAAGGGTAATAACTTTTCGTCCGTACCTGTATAAAACTACTGGGTGAAAAAATATACATTTCCGTGATATTTTACGTAAAAAATATCTCTTGGTAAAAATCGCTACGAGCAAGATATTTACGTTCTCAAGATATTTACAATGGAAATAGTCAATACAGGTCATTATTGACTAAAAATAAACATGTTGAGTAGATAATTATTTGACTGAAATGATAAATTTGGGCAATTTTTATTTTTTTAATTAATTATTTACCAAGACACTTTTTTTTACGTAAAAAACATCGCAAATGTATATTTTTTACTCACTAGTTTTATACAGGTACGGACGAAAAGTTATTACTCTTCAAACCAGTTAAAAAATATGTAGGTGGCGCCCTCTACAAGTAGGAGTCATATTGACATTAAAATCAAATTTCTCATGTCAAAAAACTCCCAGATACCAATTTTCATCCAAACATTGGCCATACTTCAGAAACTATTTGTAAAAAATCGAAATAAAATTGAAATTTCTCTCCGAAACTAAGCATTTTAGGATATACATTTATACGAAGTTTTTTACTTATTTTTATCTGCAGAATATGCCGCCAAAGTTTCCGGAATACAATTCGGACCACCCTGTATAATGGCTGACCACCCATTTACCAAGTGTCAAGGGCTCGTGTTTATGTAACGAATCGAAAAAAAATGGTCGCGATTTAAAATAATGTATTTAAAATAAAAAGAAAGTAACTAATAATTAAAAGAAAGGTCGACGTATTTGAGTCTAAATCGACTATATGAGCGAGATATAAAGAGATAGAAACTTTCTATTTTCACAACTTCGCCTTTTATGATTTCTATTTTATGTATGGATTACAATAAAGACTATTTATTATTATAATTATTGTTAATAATTAATTAAATCTCATCCGGCCTCTATGGGTCGTGAACGAACATAACAGATTTTCTCTTGAATTGGAACAATAGGAAGACAGAGTTTTTCAGACGTTCTTCTGTCCAAAACACCCCTCCCCCCCACATCGTCCTACGTCGCTTAACTTCGGTGATCCATCGGGAGCCGAGACTGGCCGTTGTAGCTTTTCTGAAATTGGGCTTGATGGTTATTTGTTAAGTAGTTTATGTTTACACATTCGTCTAGAAGCACATAGTTATTGAAATATGTCAAAACTTATTTCATTTTGAAATATAAATTTTGTTTTAAAGGTTTAAATTTATGACTCTTGAAATTAATATGTATTCTAAGAGACCTATTACTTAGGAATAAAATTTTAAGTAATTTACATTAACGAGAAAATAGCGTTATATGTTTTTCTACTAACCAGAAACGTGTAGGTTTGAAATATACTTTGTGGAATGTGTAATTACCTATCGGTCGTGGTTACAGCAATGTAAAATACGGATTTCTTGAACTCTTGCATGCCGTCATCTGGTAGATATATTGAAAATGAAATTCCACAAATATGAATGCTATTCTTGACATTAAATAGCTAATAATAAATGGAATGGACTTAGAGAAATTCATTGATGCATAAAAATGGCATTTAATGGCATTTAAAGTTGTAATGTGTATAAATAACTCCTTATAATTTTCTACCGACTTAGTGAGGGTTTTAATGACTTTGATTTTGACAATTGCCATTGGGCTATGCGCCTCAATAGATTTTTAGGTCTTGCCTTGAATGAAATTTTTAGACGGTTACCCATCCAAACTCGTCGCCTTCGATGGTCGAGTTCCTTTGTATCTATGCAGCAGCCTCGTTTTTGTATACAGTTTTGTATACCCTTCATAATATTGTTACGCTTTTCGTCGGTTCCGTGTGGATAGAAAGTCTAATTTATTTAAACACAACTTATTTTACACTAAGTAACAAAACAATAACGACAAAACTACTTAAAGAACTATTTATAACTTATTTACTATTTATCTAAAAGGAATTTATTTTGAATTTAGCGCGGCAACTGTAACTGTACGCGTCGACCGGATATGTCTATTTGTTTCTGTCCTCTTCAGGCCTCAGGCGTCAGCTTATATACCCACAGCTAAATAGTTCTCGAATGTTCCATAGATCATTAGAGAAGGTTTAGAATGTTCTCGTATGTACTCCTCCAATCCAGTGGAACTCGATTGTTCTCGAACGTTCGAGTGAATCATTACAGTGTCTATTCTTTAATGACTTGTGTAATGTCTAGCCCCCGCAGGCAACTATTAAGCCCGACCAATCACGTTAGAGTTTTTGACCCAACACAAATGAATTAACACCCTCCAAATAACCCCGCTAACCAACCTGATTGGTCAAGCTTAATAGTTGCCTGCTGGGGCTAGACACTTCTCTCTTCTCTTTAATGCGATATTAAGGTCATATGGGATGGAGGCGGGACATATTAGTTAGGTTAGGCAAGGTTGGCATCATATATGTATATCGATGATATATATCGGATATATATCATGATATTTATACCTTGATATATATCATGATATTTATAAAAAATAAAACTCAACTATTTTCTTAAATTTCTACGTTAAAAAACATGTTTACGGCACACCGTATTTTTATTACGTATTTATATTAATCAGAAAGAAAAAAAAACAAAAAAGATAATATTGATTGGATCTGGGACAATTCAAATGTGCCAAAAACTTTGCCAGAAACAGTATCAATTGATTCTGACGATGATTTACCATTAATAAAACTAATAAATCAAATATAAATATTTGTTTGTTGTTAGTTTTAGAATACCTGTTTATTTTTTTTTGAATTTCCGTTTATTTTTTAGAATTTCCGTTTATTTCTTAGAATTCCTGATTATTTTTTAGAATTTCCGTTTATTTTTTAGAATTTCTGTTTATTTTTTAGAATTTCTGTTTATTTTTTAGAATTCCTGTTTATTTTTTAGAAGTTCTGTTTATTTTTTTAGAATTTCTGTATATTTTTGTTTCAATGTTGTTCTTATTATGTGCAAAGCAACAATAATTAAGTTGAAATAAAAATATTTGCTTGAGCTCTTGATTTTACTTGATACTAAACGCAGTTAAAACTTGATATATATCGGATATATATCCGATATTTGATATTTATATAAATATCATGATATTTGCCTACCCTGAGGTTAGGTCAAGTCCTTACGGTTCCGCAACAATATTATGTATGTCCAGTCAATTATTAAAATATTGTGTTAGTTTTTATCTAATGGCTCTAAAATATAAAATCTCGTTTATGCTCGTTCTAAACTTTTATATTTCAATTTAATATACTGTTTATGTTTTTAAAATATTCAAACTTGAACAACTTTACGTTGAAATTATTTTCTTGAATGTTTGCTAAAAATTAACAGTCATGTTCATAAAACAATACTGGTATTATGGTTATGACCCCTAAACTTTCTACGCTACAAGATGATATAATGATCCTATTATTAGATTACAGAACAAAACGCTTCAAATTGTTTTAAAACTAAACAATGTAGCAGCTCGTAAAAATGATAATGTCTTGTTTACACCATTAAGCATGGCAAACGGTTTAACATTGTTTTATTTTATTTCCTTTTGTTTCAGGTGAAATTTTGCCTACAGAGAGACGTAAGTACCATGCTATTATGGCTATGCAAAGTGGGAGCGATGTTGCCGGATGGTAGAAGGGTTGGTATGATTTAACGATATTTGAGAAGAATTAATTTATTTCAGGATTTCCGAAATTGTAGAAAAACTTACTTCGTAAGTTATATTAAAGTAGCTACGATAGTTTGAGTTCTAATTTTCAATAATATTGATTTTATTTCTTTTCACTTTCAAATTCTGGTATTATTTCTTATGCCTCCTAATAATTAACTCGGTACTAATATAATCTGACAATAACTGTATCAAAAAGTGACATAATGAACGCACTGTTTACATCTGTATGTAATACATCTAGGCTTTGATAAGCTTTGATAAGTCAAGTATCTAAACTGAAGGATTATCACAGCCTCTTTGTAACTAACCTGGCTACTTACAGCTAATGCAGATTCTGTGGGGAAAATGGGGAAACACCAGAACACCTTATCAGTGAGTGCGCCGAGACGACAACCATTCATGCCATAAACTTTGGTGCGGCTGATGTCGGAGATGGAGAGCTAGCCGTCTCAGATACTGGCTTTTGTCAAAGCCCTGGGACTGTGTGATGAGTTAGAACTCGTTATACCTCGAGAAAGGGGGACACACAATAGATCTGTAAGGTCGCGGTGATTAACCCCCACCCCAAACATTCTACTTATACAAAAATTTCAAAAATGCCAAAAATCAGTTTTATAACTAACCGTTTGTGCCGTAAATTTTGGTACGGCTGATGTTGAAAATGGAGCCTCTGTGGAGTCGTCTCAGATAGTCAGAAATAAAAGATTATATTTATCTATTGTTAATGTAATCTCAAAAGAGCTGCTAATTCAAAAAAACTTGTTGTCGTTTTGTCGTTGTGTAAATAAACATTTGGCAACGTCGTTTGTAAATAGTATGTATTTAGTTATGCTTTAAACGTGTGGGAAACAAAGTTACAGGTCGGTTCTCAGGTAGGTCGAGCTAGTTTTCTTCTTCCTCTATTGCCATCGGTAATCGCTCAATTAGTTTGCTAGAACGGTAAGCATTTTTTATCGTTTTTACAGCAACTGCGAACACTACAGTATTGTTTAAGCGAACGAATTGTTAACAACGAAATGATATTAACCAAGAACGCAGTTATTGATCAAATCTAAAATCTTATTTATCCAGTATGTCGCAAATACCTATAGCATTAATTCATAGAGAAAAACATATATCAGGACAGTGCCTCTTCAACGAATACCTCAGTAGAATGAAGCTGAGAACAAAAAAACGGCAAATGCAGATTCTGTGGGGAAAATGGGGAAACACCAGAACACCTTATCACTGAGTGCACCGAGACGACAACCGCCACACAGCTCGTCAAATATAGGTGATTTTGCGGTAGAGTAAGAAAGTATTAAACGCCCTCTACACTATACGTGAAATAGCCCGAAGTATATCAAGGTCCAATTATAGGGGAACATACAGGATATATTTCCTCGCCCAACTTTGTCTCGTCTTGCCCCACCTTATTTTCATTATACGAGGAAATATGGAATAACCTCCTTCGCTAATCCGTCTTGACACATTTCGAGCTATTTCGCGCATAGTGTAGAGGATAATTTCCCGAAAAATGTTAAAACAACATTTTTAACAAACTTGTTTTCTAAAAAAAATCGTGGGCTTTTGCATGATCTTGGATTGAAATATATTAATAATTAAAATACCTTTTCTTATTTAAGAAACACCCTGTATAATCTTATAACCTTTGTCTCGACGCTTTCATAGTCCAAATATCTTTGAAAAGACGTAAAAAGAACATGTGTCATCAAGCAGTTCACCCTTTTATGCACACAAAGAAAAAATATAGAGAAATTAACATAAAAAAATCGGCAAAACGAATTGCCGTACTTATATCTCTCATAAAAATGTCTGTCTACTTACGTATTTATAAAATTTCTTGGCATGGCATGAAAAGGCGATTATTTCGGAGGCATGTACTAACTTAGGTGTTTTGACATTGATAAATGGTGTACAGTCGTAAACACTCGAAATCCTTAATGCCGCAACATAAAATCTTGTTGCTTTTTTCTCGTTCAGATGGTTATCTCTACTTGTGGCATCGATATATAATTGGTATGTTTATTAAGCAGCGGCCTACTTGTAAAATTCTTATCTTTCAACATTATTTATGTAGAATGTAAGTGATTAATATGTTTTGTCATTTACTAATTAATTTTTTTCTGTGATTATTAAATTTCTTTTTGTTTAGTATTTTTTGATTTTGTATCATCATACTCAGCTTATTCAATCATTTCCAATTACGGTGTAGCCTCCTTAATATATTTAGATACTCTCTTTGTAGTTGGGCCCATTGTTGTCTATGGTTAGCTACTCGGGTCCAAGTTATCCCTGCTAATTTCCTAATTTTATTGTCCCATCTCAGGTTTGGTTTTCATCCAGGTCTTTTAATTCCTCATGGGTACCATGCTGTAATTTTTGTGGTCCATCTATTGTCCAGGTGTCGTGCCAATTGCCACTTGAGGGATTTGATTCTGTGGATGACATTTATTACCTGGGTCTTTTGTTGTATCCACTCTATTCTTTTACGATTTTTCTTGGTTATTATATAACCCAGCATATTTCGTTCCATTGAGCGTTGTGTGATTCTTATAATGTCCGTTTTAATTATCCCGGTTTCGTATGCATAGGTCATGACTGGTAGTACACATTCGTCGAATGTTTTCCTTTTTAGATAAAGTGGCATTCTAGATTTCATGATTGAGTTTCTTCCATAAGTACTCCATGCTAACTTAATTCTTCGGTTGATTTCTGGTAGCAGAGATCCCGAGCTGTGTATTAGTTGTCCCAAAATATATTGTTACATTTTGCGTCTGTTTCGTGTGGATAGAAAGTCTAATTTATTTAAACACAATTTATTTTACACTAAGTAACAAAACAATAACGATAAAACTACTTAAAGGAATATTTACAACTTATTTGCTATTTATCTAACTATTTATCTAAAAAGAATTTATTTTGAATTTAGCGCGGCAACTGTACACGTCGACCGATCTGTTTCTGTCCTCCTCAAGCCTCAGGCGTCGGCTTATATACTCACAGCTAAACAGTTCTCGAATAGTCCATTAGAACATTAGGTGCATAGAGAAGAAGGTTTAGAATGTTCTTGTATGTACTCCTCCATTCCAGTGGAACTGGATTGTTCTCGAACGTTCGAATGAAACATTATGGTGTCTATTCTTTAATGCGATATTAAGGTCATATGGGGGCGGGACATATTAGTTAAGTTAGGCCGAGTCCACACGGGTCCGCAACAATATCTTTTACTATTTCAAGTTTTGTGTTATTCTTTAGAATGTTTTCTCTGTCTACTAGTTCGTTGTACCTTAGTTTTTGTTAAATTCATTTTGAGACCTAAGTACTTTATTGCTGGCTGTATTTAGTTCGTTAATTTGTATTTGTAGTTCTTCATGACTTCAGGACTATTGGCATATTCTCCATCTATTTTTAATCCTTTGCTGGTCCAGTCTAGTTGACGGAAGATTTCTTCTAGTGTTGCTGTAAACAACTTTGGGGATATCGCATCTCCTTGTCGTACTTCTTTGCTAGTTGGGTACTCTGGGGTTGTTTTATATATAATTATTCTTGCTTTGACTTCTTAGTATAGTTATATTGGCGAGAGTTTCTATATAAAGCCTGTCATAACCTTGTTTAGCTATAGGGATTCTAGTATTGTCTTAGGATAGGATAGGATGTTGCCTTAAGATAGGATTTTTTAATAAATCTTCGAATTTATTTTAGCCTTTTTTTAACTAATACAGCTCATTAGATATGATATTAACTCCACAATGAGTAATAACGCTAGCGGAAAGGGGATGCCAAATTCAATAGACAATCATTAAATTTATGAATAAATGTAAGGAAATGTAGAATTTTCAACAATTTTTGTCCAATATCTGGCGCGTTTTTTGCAGTGGAATTGGTAGAACTATATAGTACCAGTTAAAATAAGTCAGTCCAGTCCATAGTCAGTGGCGTGTAGTGCAAATTAAAGCAGGGTAGGCAAAAATAATAAAATAAGAATAGCATAAGCACCGCATAAGTATTTAAGTAATACAAATCAATATAGGAGAGTGTTGCATGGAGAAATTCGCATTCTATATTTGATGACTTGATGACATGTAAATTGTATTGTGTAATGAAAGAAGAAAACTATATTCGTCTACGCAAATTTCTTAATTCAAGCAGTTCAAGAATTTTTTTAAAGGTATTTAATGACTAAATAGAGGTGTTATAAAGAATACCGTCTCCGGTACACTTCGGGTTTCTTTATTCAATAGACTCGAAAAAAAAAACTCATTATGACCACAAAGCGACGGACGAGGCGGTGGAAAAAAACAACGGTAACCGCTGGCTGGGCGCAAAGCGTGAGACTGGAAATTAATACCCGCCAAGTACAAAAGAGGCACTTGGTCGGCCTGCTAGTAGTCGCCTTAGGAAAAGGGAAAACATTATGTGTTCAGCGTTGCCAACGTTAGCGTGTAACGTATCAGGACCGAGTAAATGAATAGCGTTCATTGAGTATCTAGCGAAGCATATCAGTTCCATTCACGAATGATGACGAATGTGTCAACATAAATTTGTATAGCACATGTTAACGTTATATGTGGAATCAATGTTAAAATATGTTGGATTGCTGTTAAATGTTAAAATATGTTGGATGCTCCAATTTATTAATATTATTTTGGACAGGATCAAGGTTTTTAAAAATGCCAATCCAATGGCGTAGTTTTAGGATTTTAATAAAAACTGTAAAAGGGTGTAGTAAATAAATGTTTCTATTTATCCCTTAAAACATAACATAAAAGTAATCATGAATTACATAAATAGAAGTTATATAATATTTACAGAAAAAAAAACATAAATAGAACAGCATATAATATCGAATGTATCTTAGCCTTAGATCTTAGTTCATACACGGTGTTCGAATAATGCACAGCCAA